ATACCCCCCTCCACCCAGAGACCCCATCTGACCCCCTGTCTCAGCCCAGGCTTATGCGGGTGCTGGGCATAGGCTGGGGGCATAAGAAGCTGTGGGGTTTGGGGACACAGGACATCAGGGTCTCCTGGTCTCTCTCCGACTAGAGAGGACAGTGAAGAGAAGGTTCCTGCAGCTCTGAAACCATCTTGACACCAATGCTTGTTATTTACTGAGTGTCCACTCCCAGCTACACCCCCGCAATGCATTCATGATCTTCATGGGCACCTGGAGAAGTGCTGACTGGTTCCCAGATGGGAAACTGAGGCCTGCAGGGACCACCCTCCTCCCCCATCACCTACCCAAGACCACACAGCCCAAAAGGGGAAAAGGCAGGGTTTACCCGGGCCATCTGATAAAGGTCAGGTAGAAGAGATATTCTGAGAGGCCACAGAAGTCATTTCACCATTCTGTGCCTCACTTTCCTCATCTGTCAACTGGAAATCACAGTCTACCTGTTGGAGCTCTTGGGAGAATAAGTGAGTTGGGTCCCTGTGAAGTGCTAAGAAGAGGGCTAAGTACACAGTAGGCATTAGATGAATGGTGTCATTCACTATAGCAATTTTGCTATCGTTGCAACTGTAATAATAATAATAAATTATATTCATATAATAGAATAATAAGACCATTAGTATTATTGGCTAAATAATCCCTGGTTCAGCCACTTCCAAGCTGGGCAACCTTGGGCCACAGGCCCAATGTCCCCCACCCCAGGTTCCAATTCCCCATCTGACAAAAGGAGACTGTGTCCCTGCCTCCCATCCTTGCAGAACAAAAGTCACGAGGTTGTCCAAGGGATGCCAAATAGGTCACTGGGGCTGAAAGTTCTTCAGGACAGAGAGAAGGAGGAGGAACATATGCCCATACCCCAGCAGGAATGGGGAGAGGAAGCCTGAGGAGTTTTCCTTCAGTGGGGGATAAGTGACCACATGAGGGGCATGAAACCCCTAGTTGGTGCAGGCTCTGCACTGAATACCACAGGAAAAGTCCTGCCCCTGGGGCTGACAGTCTAGTGTGCTGGGGGGCAGACAGTAGAGAGGGGAAGTAGGTAGATTAGATGAGGAGGGGAAGATAGTGTGAAAGGCTAGAGAGACTCAAGAAAGCCCAGGAGGGCGGGGTACGGCGTGCTGAGGGGTTCACATTGTGAACAAGGGGTAGAGCAAGGGATGGTTGAGCAAAAACCTGAAGGAGAGGAGGGAGGGAACCCTGAGGTTACTTGGGGGTATGAACATTTCGAGCATTGTAGGCCCTGGGTTGGACCATGCCAGGGTGTTTTCCACAAGGAAAACAGGATCTGTGGGGGGAGAGAAGAGACAAGACAAGGAGGTGGTAGGGTAGAATGTGCCTTTTAGATCATGGGGAGACTTGGGGTTTTGCTCCAAGAACAGTGGGAACCATCAAGGGTTCTTGAGCAGGAGAGGGGCATACTCTGATTCAGGTGTGCACAGGGGAACAGACTGTGTGGAGTGGGAACAAGGCCACAAGTTCAGGAGATAACAGAGCTAGACCAGGTTGGGACCTGATGACAGAGAGAAGTGAGAAGATTCTGGATCTGTATGAAGGCACTGGATTTCCTCACAGGCTAGATTTTGGAGTGGTGGCAAGTGGAGGGGATGTCCCTCTTTTAGGTTTTTTTTTTTTTTTGAGACAGAGCCTCAAGCTGAGCCTTTGGATAGAGTGCTATGGCTTCACTGCTCACAGCAACCTCCAACTCCTGAGCTCAAGCGAGTCTCCTGCCTCAGCTTCCCAAGTAGCTGGGACCACAGGCACCCGCCACAACGCCCGGCTATTTTTTGGTTGCAGCCATTATTGTTGTTTGGCGGGCCCGGGCTGGATTCGAACCCGCCACCTTAGGTGTATGTGGCTGGTGCCTTAGCCGCTTGAGCCACAGGTGCCGAGCCGGATGTCCCTCTTCATTCCTTCCCTAAGCGTGCAGCAACATCTGAAACCCTTTCTCTCATGTTGCCCTGTTCCTTTCTCACCCTGTCCTGTGATGACAGCAAGTTGGGCATTCAAAAAAATCCCAATTTAAGGCCAAGCACTGTGGCTCACGCCTGTAATCCTAGCACTCTGGGAGGCCAAGGCCAGTGGATTCCCTGAGCTCAGGAGTTCGAGACCAGCTTGAGCAAGAGTGAGACCCCATCTCTAAAAATGGCTGGTATTGTGGCCGGTGCCTATATTACCAGCTACTTGGGAGGCCGCGGCAAGAGGATCACTTATGCCCAGAAGATCGAGGTTGCTGTGAACTATGATGCTGCAGCACTCTACCAAGAGTGGGTGACAAAGTGAGACGGTGTCAAAAAGACAACAACAACAACAACAACAACAAAAACCCAAACAATTAAATCCCAATTTAATAAACAGTCCCAATGAGGCTAGACCTACTCCAAGGGGTTTTCTGGAGGAGCAGAGAGCAACAGAGTTCATGGGCACCATGGAGGGGGTTGGAGACAACACCCTGAATGTCTGGAAGAGCCTCCTACCTCTCCCTGAGTTCTCCAGACACCAGCTGTCTGACCTGTTGCTCTGCGTTGGCAGACATTGAGCACTGGAGTTTCCAGCTTTCTAGGAAAAAAGCCAAAAATCCACTGCAGACATAGTTTGGCCCAGCCTCTCTGCTGTGTCCACACCCCTCCCCCAGGCCCCTTGGGTCCCCTGGCAGGAGCCTGGGACTCTACCCTTCCCTTGGCAGGAAGGGGTTAACTCCGGGAGCAGAGGCGGAGTGCTTGGCCATCCCAGGATACTGCTCTTTGGACTTCAGTCATCGGTGCCCTTTTTTTCCCATAGCTGCAATTTCCCCCTTTCAACTCTTATGCACTTCCTATTTTCTTCAACATTCATCACTTTGCACTATCATTCCATTCTTATAAAAAAGAGACTTGATTCCAGCAACCTCCTTGAAAAACCCTTCTCCTCACGCTAAATAGTAGGGAAATCTAAAAATAAGTATGAATATAAGGAACTCAAAACCAAGTCTTTAATTCTAGCTGGGTACAGTTGTCTGCTAAACCTCAGGGTCATGGAGGTGTCAAACCATGTTAGTACCCAGTAAGGACTTGGTGGGGGGGTCCGGAGTGCCTGCCTGCCTGTGAGCCTCAGCTGAGTCCCTTGTTAGCTGTGTGAATCCTCCTGTGCCTCAGTTTTCTCCTCTGTAAAATGGGAACTGTAATAGTGCTGCAGATGTTTTAGGAGTCAATGAGTTAAAATAGGCTTAAAAAAAAAAACAATCTGAACAACATAGCAGGACCCTGTCTCTACAGAAAAATAAGCTGGTTGTGGTGGTGCACACCATAAGTCCCAGCTACTCAGGAGGCTGAGGCAAAAGGATTGCTTGAGCCTAGTAGTTTGAGACTGTGGTGACCTATGATGATGCCATTGCACTCCAGCAGGACAACGGAGTGAGACCCTGTCTCAAAAGAAAACCAAACCAAAAGCAAACCTCAAATAGTCAGGACCAGGCCTGGTGTAGATAAAGCACTTTCTAAATAATAGCATTTAAAAAAACTATTAGGTACCTCCATAAGCAAGACAGTCATGGAATCACTTGCCCTATCACATGATTCTCTCTCTCTTTTTTTTTAATTGAATGGTAACTATGTACATTAATGCACTTCTGGGGTACAGTGTGGGGTTTTCACAATGATTCTCTCTTGATTATAACATTGAGCCCCTGAGATGGAGAGATTTAAGTTTCCCACAACAGGGTACTCTGGCCAAAAGAGGCCAGGAGGGTAGCTTCCCTGCTGCCCCAAAGTTTCTCTTCTTGGTGTCTGCCTGCCAACCACAAAGGGCCCTTTCACCCTCCCCCAGCTCCTATTTGTTTTGTTCTTCTATTTTTATTTGTGTGTGTGTATATTTTTAAGAGAGAAGGTCTCACACTTTCATCCAGGTTGGGGTGCAGTGGTTCGATTGTAGCTCACGGCAGCCTTGAATTCCTGGGCTCGAGCAATCTTCTTGCTTCAGCCTCCTGAGTAGCTGGGACTACAGGTGTACACCACCATACCCTGCTAATTTTTTAATTTTTTTAGAGACGGAGTCTTGCTATGTTGCTAGGCTTGTTTCAAATTCCTGGGCTCAAGCAATCCTCCAACCTTGATCTCCCAAAGTTCTGGGTTAAAGGTGTGAGAAACCATGACCAGCCCCTGACCCCTATTTGGATGGTGGCCTCGCTGTACCTCAGTTTCCCTCCTCATCTAAAAAGCAGAAGAGGGGTGGCGCCTGTGGTTCACTGAGTAGGGCACCGGCCCAATATACTGAGGGTGGCAGGTTCAAACCTGGCCCTGGCCAAACTACAACAAAAAAATACCTGGGCGTTCTGATGGGCGCCTGTAGTCCCAGCTACTCAGGAGGCTGAGGCAAGAGAATCACCTAAGCCTAAGAGCTGGAGCTGTGATGCCATGGCACTCTACTGAGGGCGACAAAGTGAAACTCTGTCTCTAAAAAATAATAATAATACATTTTTTTAAAAAGCAGGAGGGGAAAATACTGTCAGTTGAGATGCTGGCACTGAAGACTCAGGCGTGCTAACACTGGGCACGGGGTGAGCCTGAACGTAGGAGCCTAGGGCTATTTCTGATGTGGCCTTTGTCCAATCTCCCCTCCACCCACCCCTGGCCAGTGCCCAGAGCAGAGCCAAGCAAACTGGACGAGACTCCCCCGCCTCTCTGGCCGTGCCTTCTCTGATGCCGCTGGCCCAAAGATACACAGGCTGGAGTGTGTGTCAGACGCTCAAGTGGTGGAAAATCTGGGAGAGGATTTGGAAGCAGGTTGCATTTTATTCCCACGAGCCAGTATGTGTATGTGTGTGTGCGTGTGTGTGCATGTGTGTATGTGTGTGTGTACAGCGCCCCTGGGTCTGTGTTTTTACTGCACTTTCCTGTTGGCTTCCAGCTGCCCCGCCAGTTCCGGGGAGGGCCCTGTGCCAGCAGCTGTCCACCCCCTCCTTCATAAAGGCCCAGCTTCAGAACAGCCCACACAGCTGCCGGCCTGGGGATACAGGACAGTCCTGTCCCTCTCGTACCTCCCCTTGCTGGTGATTGTTTCTACCGGCAGCTGGAACCATGGGAGGCAGCAGTGGCAGCGGTGTCTTTCTTGGTAAGAACTTTGGGGCCTGAAGGGAGGGGTGAGGAAGCCTTGGAAGGACCCCTGTTCTCAGCTGAGAAATGGGAGGTGTTGCTGGTGGCTCTGAGGCAGGCGGAAGAAGCCACATGTCAGGCAGGCACCTGTGGCCACATGGGGACAGAGGCAGGCAGTGCTTGGGCACCCATGCACCCTGAAAGAACCCCAGAGTGCTCTCAGAGCCTGCTTCCCTACCCGGAGGGTTCTCCAAACTCTACTCTGTAGCCAGTTTGGAGGCTGCTCCTTAAGAGGGGAAACTGAGGCATGGGGTAAGGGAAAGGAGGAAAAGTGAACATTGAGACTCCACGGGCTCTTAATATAGAATGTGGAAGAGTAGGGGCTATTTGGAAGCTGGTGCTGGTACCCCCAATGTGTACCCCCTTGTCTCAGCAGCAGCCCGGGAGAGCTTCCTTCTTGCTGCTCTAGACCTGGCTGGGCTTCAGCTGTGGGTTGAAGGGACTTTGCCAGGCTGTGGGTTTTGAACTTGACTTTTGTTGTGACTTCCCCCAGGCCTCCCTTCCCGCCCCACCCAGGGTGGCTCTAACGGTTAGCTTATCTAGCTTATCGGGCAGCTTGCTGCCTGGGCAACAGGGCAACAAAAAGAGTGAAGAAATGGCATTTGATGGGGAAGCCAGTTCTACTGGAACCACAGGGACACAGCTTCCCTGTGGCAGTCCCCGGGGTGCCAGGTGTCAGCTCAGCATCCCCCCTGGGCTCAAGAGGAAGGGACAGGAGGTTGCTGTGTGTGGCACACCTGGTTGGAGGGCAGTTGCGGGTGGCTCCAGGCCCTTCCTGGCAGCCTCTGAGCTCACTTTCCTTACCTGTGGAACAAATGTCCAGTGTCAAAATGGAACAAAACCAGCCTCCATCTTAGAGGCTTGTTTTAAGTGTTGGGTGAGTTAGTATACAAACTATTTGTGGTTCACAGTAAGAATTAAGTAAACAGGATTTTAAAATTATTAGTATTATTAACTTCTAGATAAGACACTGGCAGATTTGGGGAATAGTCTTGGGGGTCCTTAGCAGGAGATGCAAGGGGTGACTGCCCCACCCTTACCCCAGATTCTCTAAGCAGGAATCTTCTTGCTCAGGGCTCTGAGAACAATGAAAACCAGATGGGTCTGAGAGGAGATGAAAAGCCATTTTTCTCCCAGCTCCCGTTTGGGAAACTTCCAAGGCCCCAGATGGAGGAAGCCTGGCTCCATAGCCCCAGGGGTGGAGAGCTCAGCTCAGCCCGGCAGAGGGAACAGAGGAGCCCTTCCACCCAGGGCCTGGGGACCTCAACCGCTCAATTTCTCCTTCCTCAGTCACTTCTGTCCACTTAGATTCTTCTGGATCTCCCCCCCCTGAGTTCCATGCCTCAGTTTCTCCATCTGTATAATGGGCATAAACACAGCCCCTGCCTTTAACAGAGTCACTTGGGGCTTTAGGAGCTGGAGACCAAACAGCCTAGGTCCCATCCTTCAAGGGAAGGTCATTTTTGTGGTCTGTCCTATAAAGAGGAACTAGCCAAGACCTGTGGCCAAAGAGGAGGAAGACAGGGATCCTGACACGAGGAAGGGGAAGGGGTAGGGCTTCGAGCAGTGTGTGTGTGGGGTCTCTGCCCTCCTCCAGCCTGAGGGGTACCAAGTCTGGATACAGAGGCTGAGTGGTCAGGGGACCTTTGTTCTGCAACCCCCAACCCCCAAACACCAAACTTTACTCACAATGACCCACCCCAGAATTCCCCTGGGAGTCCTCTCCAGTGTCAAAGAGGGCGACTGAGTGGTGAGTCATCCCTCCCTTCAGCCCAGGAAATGACTCATACCCAGCCTCCCTCCGGGTCCCCATCCCGCTGCCTGACACCCCTGTTTCGGGGCTGCTAGGATTTCTAAGGTCCTCAGTGTACCCCCAGTACTCTCAGGCCAGCAGGGAATTGATGGACCCCCCAGCCCTCCTCCCTCCCTTCCCTGATCCCATCCATCCTCCTCTCTCATTGTTTCTCTGGCCCTGGTTTCTGTCTCATCTCCTCCTGTCTTCTTTCTTTGGATTCTTTTTTTTCCCTCTACATCTCTATATTACTATCTGTCTCTCTCAACTCTCTTTTCTCTCCACCTGTGTCCTTGTCTGTCTATCTCTCTGTCTCTGACTCTCTCTCTCTCCCCCTCTTTATTTTCTCGCCACCTCTCTCTCCTTATGTATCTCTCTCTGGTGAGCCTCAACGAGCTCCCCACCACCATAGCCCCTGGTCACCTGAGGGGGGTTCCCCAAGACGGGCCCTGGGAGCGGCAGAAGAAGCAGCAGGGGGGACCAACAGGCTTCCATGGTGTTTTCCTGTGGAACCTGGGGTGAAATGTCACCACTGGGTCACAGGACGTGGCTGAGCTGTTATGGGTGTGGTGTGTGCACCTGTGTCCCTGAGGAAGGGTGTGGGGCCTAGGGCACCATAGAGCCTGGAGCATCTGAGAGTTCTTGTCCAACCCCTTCATTTTTACCTGAAGAGAGGATGACAGTGAATGCTCAGATGCACTGGGAGCATTCATGGGGCGCATTCCTATGTGCCACTAAAGTGGGTCCCCTCACCAACCCTATTCTTTAGAAGGGGAGACTTGGGCAGAACAGTAGTGAGGGAAACTGACCACAGACTGAGATTTGGGCTGGAGCCACCTCAGTCTGTCCTCTGAGCCACTGCCTGCACAGCCCACAGCCTGCTGGGCTTAAGGTCCCTTCTTCGTCCCCTAGTTCCTGAAAACCTAATCCAGAGGCACCAAGTGACAGACCCTCTGGCTAGGGGTGTAGGAGTCCAGGGATGTGCCACTAGCTCACTCTTCCTTTGTATGAGCCCCTTCACCCAAATATGTTACCCTTAGTTCTCCTTTTAAGTTTTGGTGTTCTCTTGACCCCCCTCTCTCTGTTGCAGTGCTGTATGTCTTTGTACTGACCCTGTCAGGAGGTGAATCCCAGGACTCTGGGGGTGAGTGTATTGGGAGCTGTGGGGTCCACAGACAGAGCCCAGGGAAGGGGCCCTGAACATCCACCCACCTTGTACCCCTCCCCCCTCAGCCCAAGGAGTGAGGGGCCTGATTCAGAGGAAGCTCAGGGCCATCCCTCACCTCCCCAAACACCTCATCCTATGGGGATCATGTTGCCCCCTCTACCCAGCCCCTGGATCCACCTCGCCTTCAGAGCATGCCCTCTGCCCCTGCAGCCTGTGCCCGGTGGTGCCCTCCAAACTCCGTATGTGTCAACGCCTCTGCCTGTCGCTGCAAGCCAGGATTCAGTCCCTTATTTAAGGAGATCTTCAGTGACCCCACAGACAATTGTGATGGTACAGACATGGGGGCAGTACAGGGAGGGGAACATCAGAGATGACCAGGTATTGCCTAGTACCAGTGGGAGATGTGGGTGATAGTTAGCTGCTGTAGCCCTTGGCCTTGGGATGGTCATCATGGGTGGGGAAAAGAGAAAGGAAAAAAAATATAAAGGTAGAGAGGTAAGGAGTGAATAGGCATGGGTTCTTGGAGAAAGGAGCTGGATCCTTGGGTGTCTGGAGTCTGTGCCTCAGTTTGCCCTTAAGACTGGGGAGGGGTGGCTCGACACCTGTGGCTCAAGCGGCTAAGGCGCCAGCCACATACGTCTAAGGTGGCGGGTTCGAATCCAGCCCGGGCCCGCCAAACAACAATAATGGCTGCAACCAAAAAATAGCTGGGCGTTGTGGCGGGCGCCTGTAATCCCAGCTACTTGGGAGGCTAAGGCAGGAGACTCACTTGAGCCCAGGAGTTGGAGGTTGCTGTGAGCAGTGAAGCCAGGGTACTCTACCCAGGGGCTCAGCTTGAGGCTCTGTCTCAAAAAAAAAAAAAAAAAAGACTGGAGAGGGGGATGCTGAGCCTCCTGCCTATCCCTGACTGTGGCACTTTCCACTGTGTCCAAATCCAGGGTGCTAGCCAGAGAACTGGAATGAGCAGAGCTGGCTGAGTGGCCTTCAGGAATGGCTTGCTCCACCTGCAGCACAGCACAGGATTCTTACCAAAAGATACTAAGCACCAGGCTTCATGCTAGGGAGTCAGGATGGGAGTCTCTGTCCTGAGGGAACTCACACCTTTGGGAGGTGAACCTTTGCCCTGTTGGTTCCAGACATCAACGAGTGTATGTCACCCAGGAGGATGGACTGTGGAAAATTTGCAGACTGCCACAATGTGGAAGGGAGCTACTACTGCGCGTGCATCCCAGGATTTGGGCTCACTTCCGGGGCTAAACGTTTCCAGAATAAGAGTGAGAACACATGTCAAGGTAAGCACCACCCTACATCTTCCTTCTCTCCATCCTAGAGGTTTGGGGTCACCAGAGCCATTCTTGTAGCATCCAAGGGGCAGAGCCATGGTTACAGTTTCAGTGCTTGAGGGGTGAGATAGAACAGGTATGCAAGGTACCTGTACTGCTGCTCCAGAAAGGCAGAGTGGTATAAAGGTCACAGACAGATGCTGGGACTCCAGCTGCCTGGGCCCAAATCCTGATAGCTATGTGTATGATACTCATTCAGAAACCATTGTTAAAATGTGAGATGTGATAATATTATTTTGTGCTAAAACAAAAGAGTCCCTTGGCTGGGTATGTTGGCTCACACTTGTAATCCTAGCACTCTGAGAGGCTAAGGTGGGAGGATCACTTGACATCAGGAGGTCAAGACCAATGTGAGCAAGAGTGAGACCCTGTCTCTATTAAAAATAGAAAAATTAGCCAGGCTTGGTGGTGTGTGCCTATAGTCCCAGCTACTTGGGAGGCTGAGGTGAGGATTGCCTGAGCCCAGGAGTATGAAGTTGCTGTGAGCTAGACTAAGCTCATGGCACTCTAGCCTGGGCAACAAAGAGAGACTCGGTCTCAAAAAAAAAAAAAAATCAAAAAAAGTCCCAAACAAAAGTATCTTTGCCTGTGTGACCTTGAAAAGTTAAATCAATTCTCTGTGCCCTAATTTTCCGACTGTAAGAAGGGAATAATCATGATAGAATTGCTGGAATGTAAATGAGATCACAAAGGAACTTAACAGGTATGGGCTCAAGGAAAGTGCTCTATCAGTGATGGCTGTTGGGCATGTTTATTGTGATTATTATGATCTGATGCACCCTCTCCAGGATTGGCATTCTTGGGGCAGGCAGTCAGAAGCAAGCTGCAAGGGTCCAGTCCTACACAGCAGGTATATCTGCCTTGGTATTACTTGATGCTGCCACAAATCACCAGGCTTTGCCCTCTTTCCGTGGGGAACTAGCTGTGGAAGGGAAGGGGCTTCAGGCATCCACAGGGGCAGATGAGAGCAGTGGGCAGCTGGAAGCCATGGCTCACTTGGAGAGAGAGAGTTGGTGCAGAGGTTGGGAAGTGGAGGGGGGCAGAGGCGCATGATGATGAGGCTGAGGATGAGATTTTGAAAGCCACCCTACCGCAGAGAGAAAAGTGCTTAAGTCTGGGCTCCATCCCTCCTTCCCTGCAGGAAGGCAGAGGGCAAAGGAATGCAGAGAGAGGGAACAGGGGGCCAAGATGTGTGGAGACATGTACACGAATGGAGCCCAGCAGGAGGCCTCTGTCCACCACACTTCTAGTCCACAGGACCTCCCTCTCTCCTCTAGCCGTACCACACAAACATGGCTTGGCCAGATGATAGAATCTTCATGTGATTGGAAAAAGGCCCCTCCTCTCTACTCTCCAAGTGGACACAGTCATATTTGGCAAATGAAGAATGGACTGATATTCAGCCCCTGCTCATCTCCTTGTGCGGTGAGCAAACTGCACAACTGTACATGGCAATCATAGATTCTTCTCAGTGTGCCGTGGCCGGGCATAGACATAGATGCAAGAGTGAGGGGACAAAGAGGCCACCATGGACCTCAAAGCAGTGACTGGAGAGAACAGCCTGCTGGTTTGGACAAGGACCTACCACGTGAGGCCCCAGCTTTGTGAGGGGCTCAGTAGGGACCTATCTGTGCCCCTTCCCTTAAGCCTCAGCACTCTAGGCCTTGAAATACCTGAGGATATGCTCACCCAGTGAGTGTCACAGCCCATAGGGCCTATGATGGGCAGGGGACCTGGAGTCACTGCTTTGGTTCCACACCCCACTTTCTCTAGGCATTAGAGGACTATCTAGACATCTGGTCACCTATCCTTGTATGAATCCCAAGGCTCAGAACCCTCCACAGGGGACACTTCCGGAAGTTTAGTGTATCCTCTGTCCATCTGATGTGTTATTACAAAATATAAGTTGAGGCTCGGCGCCTATAGCTCAACCGGCTAAGGCGCCAGCCACGTACACCTAAGGTGGCGGGTTTGAATCCCCAGCCCGGACCCGCCAAACAACAATGACGGCTGCAACCAAAAAATAGCCGGGCATTGTGGCGGGTGCCTGTGGTCCCAGCTACTTGGGAGGCGGAGGCAAGAGACTCGCTTGAGCCCAGGAGTTGGAGGTTGCTGTGAGCTGTAATGCCACGGCACTCTACCCAGGGGGAAAGCTTGAGGCTCTGTCTCAAAAAAAAAACAAAACAAAATATAAGTTGACATTCAGGATATTTCATGAGCTCCTGGCATGGCATGTCCTGGCACAATATCTATTCTCTTAGCCATCATCAGTGACTGACTGCATGACACCTGCTCCGACCAGGGCCCCCAGGGCTTGGCAATACCTGGAACCTTCTATGATCTTCCTGGCCATGATGGACACAGGGACCCCCTCAGGAAGAGGGCGATTCAAGGGCAGGGCTACTGTCTCCAGCCTGGAGAAGATGCCACCTAGAGCCCTGACAGCCTTTTTAGCCGCTCAGCCTCCATCAACATCCCCACCCCAAGACTCTGCTGTGATATTTTCCAGTAGTTTTTGCTCACAGTCCAGAGGGCAGCTCTGATGACTGAGGCTTGTGAGGATGTTGTAGCCACAGGTGGGTAGGGAAACATCAACCCCCAAACACATTTGGAGAGTTAGGTGAAGGAAGAGCCTCCGGTCTACACTAGATAATAAGAGATCCTCACGGAGGACCACTGCTGCAGGCTGGATGCTCTCCCAAGGTCAACCCTGGACTGGACAGAGATGGAGGCAGAGCCCCACTTGGAGGCACCCACAGGTCTGCATCCTTAGTGCAATGCTGAGGGATAAGACAAAACACCTCCCACCTCTTGTCCATCAGCTCCTGCTCCTGTCTCCAGCCCTGAGCCCTTGCCCATGGCTGGCCTTGCCAGACATGGATTCTAATGACTTTCTGACACATCTATAGGATGCTTTCACTGGGATCACAAGGCATCTTTGAAGGCCCAGCAATGCCTGGTTGGAGGTTAGCCCATACTGTCCACCCCTGCCATTGGACTTTGTCCCAGGGGGCCGGGCTCAGGGTCTGGTCTAGGCCATTTCTGAGAGCTGGGCTCTCAGAGTTAGTGTGGATGGGAGAGAGTTGTCCTGCGCAGGCCACTAGGACTCCCAGGAGAAGCTTGCCAGCAAACAGCCACCCAGGGGAGAATCTGCCCAAAGGATACCACTGAGAGCCAAGACAAGGCCCTACGTGAGAATGCAGCATTTCTCCTGCATCCAGTTCCCAGGGCTTTCCCTCACATCCTCAGGCGGGGACACAGGTGGCTGGGAAGCCCTGGCCTCAACCAGGAGCTGCCCTAGGAGGCAGAGCAGCTGGGCAGGACCCGGGGGTGCTCCCAGCCACATCAGGACAACAGAGGTTCTGGGCACCAATCTCTCCATAGGATTCTTCTGTGTGAATTTGGAAAAAGGAGGCAACAGTGGTGCCTCTGGATGCTTCTGTGCCAGAAAATGTGGCCGACCCCAGCCATGAAGGCTACCCAAGCGGCAGGAGTCCTTCATCCTCCCCTTCCTCTTGCAGACGTGGACGAGTGTCAGCAGAGCCCCAGAGTCTGTAAAAGCCATGGCATCTGCAGGAACACCCCAGGCAGCTACACCTGCCAGTGCCTACCTGGCTTTGTGCTCAAACCAGAGGACCCAAAGCTGTGCACAGGTAGAGGCCCCAGGAAGATGCCATGGAGGCTGGAGCCGAGGAGGAGGGAGAAGACCCAGTTTCCCACAAGGTCAAGGACCTGCTAATACCCTACCTAAGGAGTTGCTTCCCAGGAAGGTCTTGACTCAGGGCAAGGGGGCAGTGGAGCCCTCTAGGCCTGGAATTCCCTTGTGGAGCCCCCAGACCTCACCTCTTCCTCATCTGTCACGGACAAGTGGAGGACAAGTGGAAAAAGATGTTACTTCCAGTTTTTTTTTTTTTTTTTTTTGCAGTTTTTGGCCAGGGCTGGGTTTGAACCTGCCACCTCCAATATAAGGAGGCTGGCACCCTACTCCTTGGAGCCACAAGTGCCACCCTTTTTTTTTTTTTTTTTTTTTTTAGGCAGAGTTTCACTCTGTTGCCATGGGTACAGTGCCGTGGTGCTTGGGCTCAAGCAATCTTCCTGCCTCAGACTCCCGAGTAGCTGGGCTAACAGGAGCCCAACACAATGCCTGGCTAGTTTTTTTGTTTTTCTGTTTTTAGTGGAGACAGGGTCTCACTCTTGCTTAGGCTGATCCGGAAATCCTGAGCTCAATCAACCCACAGGCCTTGGTCTCCCAGAGTGCTAATATTATAGGCATGAGCCACCACACCTGGCTTCACTTCTAGTTCTGAGAAAGGGAGCCACCACCATGGCCAGAGGGTGCAGGCTAGAGAACTTGGCCAGAAGGTATAGCCTCTGAGACTCAGTTTCCCTCCTGGTTTTATCTTCTATAAACAGGAAACTGTGGTCCCTTCGGTACCCATCTTGCAGGGAGGTCATCATACATTGCTTTGAATGTGTATTTGAAGGTCACCAAGTGACAGCATGTGCAATAACTGCCCTTGGTCTGGGGAAATATAGGGATAGGGAAGTGAGTGCAATAAGGGGAGGGGAGGCCTGAGCCGGTCAGGGGCAGGGTTTGACCCTCTGGCTTTGTCCTCAGACGTGAATGAATGCACCTCTGGACAAAACCCTTGCCACAACTCCACCCACTGTCTCAACAAAGTGGGCACCTATGAGTGCCGCTGCCGCCCGGGCTGGAAGCCGATCCCTGGGTCTCCTAACGGCCCAAACAACACCATCTGTGAAGGTCTGTAGTCCAGACTCCAACACTGCCAGAGACTCACAGCCAAACATCCAATCGCACACTCAGCGGCCCCCACACAAACCAAGCAGAACGAACACTGGAGGCAGCATGCTGTGCCTGGGCTTTTATTCTTTGGAGACTGGATGTGAAAGGACCTGGTGGTCCCAAGGAAGGAGCCGGGCACTGAGGAGGAAGCTCGGGGGCCCCAGGCAACAGCTGATTCATAACTGGGAGAAAGGCCCCTCAGTATTTCCACAGCTGCACATCTGGACAGGGCCCACGTGCTGTGCTCAGGCCTCTTCACACCTGCCACAACCCAGCTTCTGCCTCTCCAAGGGGGTCACTATCACTGAGAAGAGTGCAGTGGGGGCTTATACAAGAGAGGGGCCACCCCTCTGGGCTGGGACAAGGCCTAACCCCTTGTTTGGCCCCCCCCAGACATGGATGAGTGCAGCTCTGGGCAGCAACCGTGCCATGAGTCTGCTGTCTGCGTCAACACGATGGGCTCATACACATGCCGCTGCCGCCCAGGCTGGAAGCCGAAAGCGAGGGTCCCAAACACCCAAAAGAGCCCTGTCTGTGAAGGTATGTTCTTTTTTTTTTTTTTTTTAAATAAATCATAGCTGTGTACATTAATACTGTCATGGGGTACAGTATGCTATTTTTATATACAATTTGAAATATTTCCATCAAACTGGTTAACATAGCCTTCATGTCATTGTTTTAGTTAATTGTGTTAAGACATTTATATTCTTCATTTAAAAAGATTCACATGTATCCTTAAAAGATGAACCATAGACATGATCCCACCAATTACCCTCTCTCCTCCCATCCTCCCGCTTCCCTTCCCTGGTATTCTTGGGCTATAATTGGGTTATAGCTTTCCTATGAAAGCTATAAATTAGTTTCATAGTAGGGCTGAGTACATGTGAAGATATGTTCTGACCTGACCTTACAAACCCCCACTCCAATACATGTACACACTCACATGCCTAATGAGCTGCTGTCCTGTTCCCTGCAGAGTTACCCTTCACCAATTTGACCTTGCCCCTGGGTGTCAACAGCCAGGTGAGTGGCTCCAACAGGGACCAGAGGCCAGGAAACCCCTCTGCAACTGGAAGCATCCACCCCTGCCCTGTGCTTTCCACCCACCCCTCAAAGCTCTCTGACGTCCTCACCACTCTCCCCAGGCTCTTTCCCGCTTCTTCAACAAAGTCCAGGATCTCAGTAAAGACTTGGAGTCATACTCAGACAAAGACACCATCCAGGTAAGGTCAAGACCCTGAGACAGTGAAGGGAGTGCTGGGGGATGCTTCAGTGTGGCTGTAGAGAGTGCTCAACGTAAGCAGGGGCCTCAGGTCAGAGACACATATGCACAATATACACACAGCACTTACTGGAGATGCCCATTTTATACTTTAGAGCCGCTTCAGCTGTGTGTTAATTGCAAGACAGTGAAAAACTAGAACAGAGCTTGGAAGGCAGCCTGTGCCCAATCAGAGGGTTGGTGTTGAGCACTAGGGTGACTCCTAAGTGCACAGGGAACCACATACATCCCTCCAGCACTTGTTTTCTGGCTACTGCATTGTCTCTGATTCCCTTGTGCTGTGTGGTTCTCTAGTATGTCCTGTCGGGGGTGAGACCTAAGTCCTTCAGGAAGCCCCTGTGGTCCAATGACCCAGTGGTTTTTCTACCCATCACTTTCAGAACTTCATCAGGTTGGTGGATGAGCTGATGGAAGCCCCTGGGGACATGGAGAACCTGGCCCCACACGACCAGCACTACATAGTCACTTGGCTGCTCTTCACCCTTGAAGAAGTGCTGAGGGCCTTGGCCAAGACCATGCCTCAAGGGCCTTTCACCTACTGTTCTCCTTCAAACACAGGTGAGGCCTCATCCTGCCCCAGTCCCAGACCCCTGCCTGTATCTAGTGTCCCCAATTGCTGCTCCTCTCCCCTCAGAGCTGTCCCTGCTAATCCAGGAGCAGGGGGACAAGAATGTCACCATGGGCCAGAGCCATGCACGGATGCTGCTGAACTGGGCTGTAGCAGCTGGAGCCAGGGACTCAGGTAACAGCATCTGTCCAGAGAAGGGTGTTTGGGGGATGAGGGAGAAGATGGGACAGGGCCAAGGAGAGGTTCAGATTATGAGACAACTACAAACTGTGCCATCAGGAGGGACTCTAGGCATTGTGGGGGACTGGCAGAGCCTGCATTGGGACATCTTGGGAGGGAGGATGGGAAGAAGTCACAAGTGTCTCTATCCCTCAGGCCCCACTATGGCCGGCATCTTCTCCAGTCAGAACATGGTAAAACTGCTGGCCAATGCCTCTTTGGACCTGGATCCCGAGAAGCAAGCCCAGCTGGAATTGAACTATGAAAGACCTGTTCGTGGTGCCCAGGTCCAGCTCTACTCAGCCGTGAACTCTGTCTTTCTTAGCAACACCAACACTGAGAAACTGGCCTCTCCCATCACTTTCGCCTTCTCCCACTTGGTGAGCCCTCAGGTGAGGAGGGGGGAATCCACCCTCCTGATCACTCAGAGCCAAGATCTCAGCAGCATTTCTTCTTTTCTCTCCATTTCCCCACATCTGACTATATTCTGCTCCTTCCTCAAACATACCTCAGGGCCTTTGCACTTGCTTGTGTGTGCCTTCTGCCTGGGATGCTCTTCCCTGTTGTGACTCATGGTGTCACTTAGCTCACAGCAACCTCCAACTCCTGGGCTTAGGCGATTCTCTTGCCTCAGCCTCCTGAGTAGCTGGGACTACAGGT